TCAAGATATAGTGGCCTCTGTTTTGTTCGCATTCTCCTTTCGTTGCATGGAAGTTGTTTGACCTAGTTTTCTCAATTTATTCGTGTTGTCAACGGGGCTCAGTTGGATACACCTTGTCCAAATTCATTTGCCATAGTAATTATGATTATTTCTAGCATCAGATCGTGGACTTGGTGTATTTGGTACATTCCCAGACGTTTCGTCGGCATCGTCAGTGAGTCTTGTCATTCTTTGCACCGATCTATAATTCGTCGGAGACAAGTGAAGTTTATCTATTGACTAACTTTCTATTGAACGATTATGTCAACACTCCTGTCCTTTTTACCTACTTTACATTCAACAACAATATCTATGATGAAATATTTTGAGTTTATATGGGGTCGCCGCTCATTTTTTTGGCATACATATACTTGAGCAAATTAGAGAAGTATTTCAATACGTCACTGCTGCAACCAAGAGTGCTCATGCGATACCTGGATGACTATTTCGCACTTTAATCGCATGGAGAAAAACTGGACGAATTCCTAAAGCTTATTAATCAAATTCGAAGTGGAAGTAGAGTAGGAATATCCAGGTGACCACAGCAGAAGGAACAACACTCTTCACTCATGCAATATGAAATGCCTGGCAAATTAGATTGCTCGGGAGTTGACTATATAGCATGTGACATCTATAAACAGAAATATATTTACGAAACAGAAAGACACATCAGCATACGAATCAAGGAGCTTCAAAGACTGTAGGAAAATTGATAGAGCGAGATCAGAAATAGTTGCACAAAATGGGAACAAGCTCAATTGTGAAAGGTATCAGAAAGAAGGGTTAAAACTCAGAGAAAAGATAAATTAGAGAGGCCATCGACATTCTCGCTGAATGAAACTTAGTTATTGGAGAGACTTTTATTTTGTATGAAAGTGTATGATAAATATATTCGTAAGTCTATCTCTCCATGCCCTTTCATACCAAATAAAAGTTTCTCTAATAATGTTATCCTAAGATAAATGTAATGATCAGGACATTGGAAATCTGAGTTATTGATAACCGCTTATTACTTATGCAAACTCGGAGCAAACAGGGATACAACACGACCAGAAAAAAGGAGACACCTCGATAATGGCCCTATATTTAGCCTGAGTAAAATGGATCACATAGAAGAAGCGAATGCTAGAAATTTAGGAATTAAGAGGAGACGCTTTCAGTGTTGGTAGTCAGCTCGAGTAACTAATTACAGCTTTCAGGGGCCTGGCGCACATGGGGCTATGGAGACGGATAGCCGCAACAGTCACATGAATTCGGCATTATGGCTGGCGTATCGAAACCAAATTCTTTAAAATGCATTTGAGCTGCGGCGGGTGTTGAAATATAGACTGACACAATTTGCTTGGGGTACACGGATTGAGGCATAGGAATGAGCCGTGAAGACAATGCCTGATATCTGCAAGTTTCGGAATCAGAGGCTGGGCACTCTGCTCGGTGAGGCCACATGCGTGTTACCAGAGGCTTGTTGCAGACCATGAAAAATAGTGCATTGAGTACAATTTATACTGTGATTGGAACCGATTGTAATCAATCAACCAGTAAGGTGAGAAATGTATCTCGGGAGCCATAGAGCTTCGAATAGGAGATCCAAGTCGGATCAGTAATCCCGGCAAATTGATAGAGAGGTAGTAACGACGAGTTGTAGCTTTGTGCCAAGATTGAGTGGAAACAATTACCAAGATGGCGTTGAAACGTTTAGAAATTTACCAAGTCCACGGTCCGATGCTAGGAATTATCATACGTACTATAGCATAGGAATTCGGACAAGGACTTGGCCCTACTGACAACACAAATAGGCTGTGAATACGAGGTCAAACCACCTCCATTTAAACCATATTTTATGTTTTCTATACATTTTTATCGTAGTTTATTATACATACTTATCTCTTACTGTTTAGCTGAACGACTGACTCCTTTATCTCTTCTCACCTAATTACTTTTTTGCATGTCTGTATCCTCCTTTTCTTTGTTTGCTTGTGTTTTTCTTTTGGTCGTCTGCAGGTTAAAGACGGCCTTGATCTGTTCACACTACGTCGATGCGCCGTTAAGATCGTTAGTCGATTAGGTGTGCGCAAGATCTCTGGTGGCTGGGCTCAGACACTTAATGAGGCCGCTATTTTGCGCCGTCTCTCTGCTGTTTCTTCTGGTGGGTCTGCTTTCTATGGACAAGACGCAATGGATGTTGATGGCAACCTGCATATTGTTCATCTTATTGCAGCACTGCGTCTTAGTCAGCCGGATCGACTCTGTTTAGTCATGGAGCACTGTTTGGGCTCTGTGCATGATCTTCAAGCCGCTGGATTGCCTCCATTCGACCCCGCTGCTCTAGATGCTGGTGAATGGCCTATTGGGGAAGATCTGAGGCTAGCCAGTCCTGATGTTTACCAGGCTGACGATGATGATTATGAAACCAGTGAAGTCAACACAGAGTGTAACAAGAAGGAAGCAGACGAATTGAAAGAGGCATGGAAAGACGTTAAAGTATTTGAAATGAATAAGCGAACAAGAGAAGCGCGAGAATGGCAAGAGGAGCGGAGCCAAGCCAATGACGAGCATATCAACAGGTTGACTGGAATTAGGAAGGAGAGGAGGCGAAATGAATATAACCTGGAAGAGACAGAAGAACAAGGGGTGGAAGTGATTTGCACTGATGCGATGGAATCCCAAGGAGGGCTCATAGATGAGATTAAGGTTTTCCCATCTTCCGAGAAACCAGATATACTTTACAAAGTAGAAGGGCAATCGGATGTGGGTGAGTCATGTTGCTGACTGCATATGGGTACAAAGTCACTGTTCTTTGATTTTGGTTTCAATCAAGTTGTTTTCATTGATTCTCTAATGAAATTGCCATTATTATTTAATTGTCAGCTTATAATAGTTCAATCTATTTCTATTGCGTAATCTGTGTCTTTGTTCGAAGATAAAATTCTTGTTGCTTCTTATCTATGGCACAAAATTTTGATTAAATTCCATCAATAATGCTTTTTTCATTACGTGCC